TTCGCTCAGCTCCTGATCCGGGTTGGGCCTTGATTTCGCGGCACACTCCTTTTCAGCGGGCATTGGAGCAGGCTTGTCTCTGGATGCTGTCTTTTGTTGACACCACCTGGAAGCCGGGTTCTCCGACAGCCGATTGGGACAACTGGCGGTCGCTAATTGTTCAGCAGCCAGGTGTACGGAAAGGGCTGATCAAACGAGCCGAAGCTGCAGATGACGAACACTATCGTGTCCGTGCTGCTTTTGATGCTTGCGTGCGAGAAGTCCGGCAGCTATTGCCGGACTTCTGCAGCTGCTGATTTTGAGGGCCTCAGCACGCTTGTCTTCCTTGTGGTCTCGCCTTCCATTCGTTGCAGCAGTGGGGCGCCCATGCCCAAAGGAAGCATGGTTATCGAAATCCCGCCAGACGCTTCTCGAGGGGATGGCGATGTCAGGTTTGTGGAGCTCAGGTCTCCTCTGCATCCCGTCTGCAAAAGCACCTCCTGCACTCCTTGCCTTGAGACCAGCAGCTCGAGCTCATTGGTGTGCTCAGTGAGGCGGCATCTTTGATGTCGGAAGGGCATTCACAGGCCGCAGCTCTGCAAGGACTGCGACGCTCTGACCTCCCCGTCGCTACGAGGCCTGTGTGTCGTAATCTGCCTCGGGCCCTTGAGGAAGCGTGTCTAGCCACCGACCAAGACATCTATGGTGGCCGAACATATTGCTCCCTTGCCTTTGCTCCGGGACACAATTGAGCAGTGGTTCCAGCTCTCTGAAGGTCCTTTGGCTGCGGCCGGTCTTGACGTCCTCTTGGTGTCGGTCCCCAAACACAGCTGCTCTGCTGTCGCTGGCAAAGCCCCTGAGTTGTCCGCTACGAGAGCAGGCTTAGATCCGATCATTGTCACCCCGCTCTTTTGTCCCTGTGATGTGGCGCGGCCTGTGCTGGGGCACGGGTGCCTAAACCTCAATCCGGTACAAGCCTGGGAACTTTAGGATTTTCCTGCTTCCTCAGTGGATTTGGCTCACCTTGCTTCCGGGCCGATCCCTGGTGCCGGACTCTACATTGACTTTCTGCCTCCGCCAGCGCTTTGTTCAGACAGTCTTCATCCGCCTGCCATGCCTCTCCGGGCTCTCCGCGGGCAACGTGAATGGGCAGTGCGCCGCTTTCGAGTTTTGAGCAGCACTCTTCAAACCTCCCTTTCGGCACTCCGGTTGCTTTGCGATTTGTAGCCCCGGCCCGTTGTTTGGAGCCCCTATCACTGTGGCTTTGGTCGATGGCCAATCCTTCTCCTTCGGAGTGCGGACGCAATCGCCCCTGTCTCACTCTTGAATTCATTGGGCAAGAGGCACGTCAGTATGACCTTGAGCTTTGGCGAAGAAAAAAGAAGTTGTAATAAAGAGCCCGAAGGAGACTATTTGTTGCTTGTTGCTCAGGCTTCCAGACTGCCGGCTTATGCTCTCCGGGGTTTCGGGTCCCGGGTTTGGGACTGCGGCCTGCTCAGGGCTGCTATAAGGGCTTCTCCAAGGAATGAACTTTGAGACATATGTAGTAGTTAGTATTACAGTATTTAAGAAATACTAAGCCCTAAAACAGTGCAGACCTCACTTTACGTGCCTCAATTCTTACATATCCTGGACACGAGCTGAGGCTTCATCTTGGAACTGTCAGAAGATCGAAATTGCAATCCGAGAGCGCGTGGAAAGCCTAACTTTGTTTGATAAGCTCCTCTGTTAGTTGTGGGGTTCTGGGCTTTGGGGGGCATTGATTCAGACTCTTTTGGATCTTGCTCGAAACCTCCGTCTGACTCCGAAAAACCTCACACCGCCATGGACCAAAACGTATACCGCCCCATGGCTTTAGCCATGCGATGTCATAAATGCGAAAGCTTTCTTGTGCCTCAAAGTGATTTAGGTGCTTGAAGCATGTGCGATACCACTCAAAAACTGAAAAACACCAGGAAGTCCGTTCTAGGTATGAAGGCTGGCCCGCCAGCGCCTTTGAATCAGGCTCGTAAATAAGATCCTCTTAGGCCCTAGGCCAAAAAGCCGAAAACTAAAAACCTCCGAAACGCAAACCAAGAGTAACATTATTATGTCGTCGCGCTCCTGTTTTGCCGATTCTCCCAAAAGCCTGCTGAGAAGTTCTAGACGTTGAGACACGAAGCCCTACACAAAATAAACACTAAACCCTGAAACATGAACCCTAGAGGCCGCCTTTTTGTAGGCCCTAGATCACTGTAGAAACTCTGATCTAAACCAAAGAGGGTTCTTATAGAATTCATATAGAAGTCTCAAAGGAACCCTACAATCCGTGATGAGACCGTTCCTGGCCGAATAGAGCCCTTAAAGGAACAAAAGAACCCCTTAAAGAAGCCTATAAGGAACCCAGGGAACGCTGATAGAACTCTTAGAGGAACCTAAAGAACGGTGATAGAACCCTTACAGAGATATAAAGACAGCTGATCGAACCTACAAGACACCATAGAAACTCAGATCCCAAAGGCTCTGGGCCAGCAGAAGGATGTCAGCCTGTGAGCATTGGCAGCCAGGAACAGAAGGCAGCGTTAATGTACATGTAGGGTTTTTGGTAGCATCCTGAGGGTTCCTTTAAAAGGGTCCGTTAAGGTTACTTACAATAAGGGCTTAGAGTAGGGACTTGGTATAGGCTTTTCTATAAGCATAGCGGAGTAATATTCGGCCTAGGATTCTTATTCTGACCCCTTTACCAAATGCCAACCTGATGTATGTCATCCGCCGTCAACCCGAAACCCGGTTCAGCCTGAAAGCCCTAAACCGGATCCAAAGCTGTTGGTTCACAGGGCTTAAATCATGTATTGACTGTATTGAATCCTGAACACCACGCAAGACTCCAAATTAGACACTGAACTCATAACCCTTAAAGGCCTGAAAAACCTTCCCTCCTTACAGCAATGATTCTCAGGCAGGCGGGACCTCAGGGCACACCGGCTGGTCCTATAAGTTACCCTGCAGACCTCCAGCCGCAGAGTGTGCTAGCTATCAAGAGAACGGAACGGCAAAAAGCAGTGGCAACAGCCAGCCAAGCAAGCAGTACCAGTAAGGCACAACGATTCTTGGCAATGCTCCTGGTATTGACACTGCAAAGGACCAGCGGACCAGCAGTAATAGCCGTGAGCTTGATCATGTAAGCACACAGAAGTGCTGCAATTCGACTATCGAGCACGATCAACCCTGAACTGATGCCCAAACGCAACCCGAAATGCCAAACCACAAAACCCTGCACCCCGAGCCCGAAACCGTAAACCCAACCCGAAATGCCAAACCCAAGGGTTTAGGATTTGGGGTTTAGGGTTCCCGACCCTACACCTGAATCTCTGGCCTGAGCCATGTGAGCCCAGTCTTCGTCGACAGCTCCATCGAGGTGAACGCTCACGCCACGATTGCCTCAAGATCTCCCTGGACATAACTATACCCCCCTTAGCAAAATAATGTAAAATATCATTTTTAAAGCTCTCTTGGGATTTATATGAACAAAAATGCAAAATTACTACTTCATGGTTGGGATAGGATTAAAAAATTAGAACTTTTTATTCCTTATTGGGTTTAAGTACCCATAAAAAATGTAAACTGTTACCCAACCATGACAAAGGTATGCCCCTACATAAACCCTCAGGCCCCACGTACTGAACTCCTAGACGCCGCTAAGCCCAGCCTGTAAGCTGGAACCCCACACAGAGTAGTAGCTTCTCATCCCACAGCTGGGAGTTACATTATATAGTATACATGACATAACCCTTAAAACACTAGATGCTTGGATCCCCGCGTAAACTCTATCAGAGCATTTATCCTGGAATTGAAGGTTAGTGCTTTACCTCCAGAGGATCCAACAAACTACTCCAAGCGTCATAGGCTACTACTGCTTTGCATGGGCTTTAAGGCGTAAAGGTAGGGGTCCAGGTCTAGGATGGAAGTCTCCAAGATATGTTTGCGGCCGCAGTTCGCTGCAGTATTGAAGCGTTCTGGTTGCCTATAGTACTTCGAAAGGAAACCCTGGCCCCAACAATTCTCAACCTTAAACTCTAAAGGCTCCAATGGTGAACTCCTGCTTGGTTGCGGTAGCCATCGAACTCAGCATCGCTGTGTTTTCCCTCTGTAGAGCTGTAGACCTGAAGAAAGGCTCGGGGTTATCTCGGCATGTCTTAGCACGGCCTGGGGTTTTGCGGTTAATTCAACCCACAGTCCTCAAACTCAAACTCTGAACCCGAAACCCAAGGTTCAATGGGCTGAGAGGTTTTTGCAGAACTCATCTTGCTGCTCGGGGCTTCGGCATGTGTTACATGACTGCTAAGGGTTTCAGGGGTCTGTTTGGACCGCATTGATTCATGTTTCTGCACTGCAGGGGTCAAAAGTTTCAGGGGCTGGGGTTTCGGGTTTAGGCCTCCAGCTGTTGGGGTTCAAGTTTCTGATTCAAGCAGCAACTGGAACTGGACCATTGAGCTCAACACAACCCGACCCACAAGCGCATGCATCCACAGATCTCTGTCTCTCTCTCTCTCTCTCCCTCCCCCTCCCCCTACGTAATAGAATTATGAGTGTAGATACAGATAGAGATATCCCCACACACATCTGCATGCATGTGCCCATGCTTTCTTGTGCGTACGGTTTCAGCGGGTATCTGGAAATTAGACCCTCGAAATACAGGTCCGACCGTGCAAAGGGAAGGATTGCTGGTAGCCTTGCTGGTGTAATGGGCCTTACATGGAACTCCTCCCTCGACGTGACGACACAAGGGCTCCATGCATCTACTTTGGTACTATAAGGGCCCTAACAATTACCTATATATATATATATATATACCCTGATGCTCCAAACCACGCAGGAACTGGGTGCGTTGGCATAAACAACGATCTTTACTGAAACAACTTGCTTTACTTGCCTGGGTTGTGTTTTGCCTAGCTGTCTCAATCTAACAACACAGCTGCAGCAGCAGAGCAACAGCTGCCTGGATTGGCCACCGTCGACCAGTGCGCCCCCCCCGCCATTTTTCAGCGGTTCCGCTTTCTAGCAAGTCTGTTCAAGAGATGCATTCTTCGGTGCATCGACAAGAGACGATACCTGCTGTATTTCAGTATCGACCGCTCCAGATTCTTTTTGTCAGATCGTTGAGCGACACCTGAGTCAAAATGTAAAGTTGATTCTGCAGAAAGAATTCGCTTCCGAATCATGAGCCGAGACACCTTTGAGCCATCGCATTGCATCTTCTTCACGGAATGTGTGGTGGTGTCGAGGGTTCAATCCTTAATTTCTGATTGCTGGTGATGCTCTGATTCACAAAATGCTCAGGATGCATCCGAAAGTCTCCGTGTTACAGCATCTCTCATCTGGTGATGGAAAGCCTTAGCTCCTAGATCGATCTGGGACACACAAATAAGAAATCTAGGTCTCATCATCTTGCGGACTGGTAGCATGCATCTTGGGCCGGATGTGCCAATGCAACTTCATCATCCTGCAACGGTAGCAGCCAGAGCTTAGGTTCAAACAACTCTTCTCACTTTAACCCGAGGGCCTCATGGAAATCTTACACAGAACGAGGTGATAGCGGAGGTACTTCATGCCATGCCCATAGATTGCATCAGCTGCTTCGGCAGTCCTGAGTTATTTATGATCAATCATTTCAAAGACAGCAAGCTGTGCAGAAGAAGTGCCGTGTCGGATTCGGCAACCGAGCTGCAGGTACCGGCCGTGCCGCTCCACTTCTCGAAACCAAGCACATAGTGTTTGCCTCGGACAATGCAGGGACATTCAGGGCTTTGGAATTGGGTTGTTTAGATTTTAGACGAGTAGATGCAATTCGCATAAATTAAAGAAAGCATCATCGTCACTGCAATGAGCTCCAGTCGCTCATCACTTGGCCAGTCGTTTGTTTCACATAGCCATTGGCAAACTTCGCGACCGGGTGCAGTAGATCGTCCCACTGCCTTTTGCATGCAGTCTGCCAGCCAGTATGCGATGACCTTGCCATTGTGACCCTTATGGCCCATGTGAGCCCCATGGGTTTCAGGCTTCCAAACCTTTGTTGCTAAGTTGAAAGGGAACCCGGTAGAATGCCCGAACAAACTGAACGACAAAATATTTGCTAAATTCCGCACAAAACGAACCTCGGCACAAACTTGGTTTGCGAGCACTTCTGACCAGAGTGGCGTTGGAATGCTTTGAAATCACGAAAAGCAATGACGAGCAATTTCTCGAAGCTTATGGTCTCGGTGCAGCCGAAATATCCATTCTCGACCAAGAACATCCTTACTCAATCAGAAGTATGACAGATGGTACGATCACTCATGCGACAAACCATATGTTGGGGCAGGGCTCAGTGTAGACCCATTGGCATCCTGGGCGATGCCCAGGTTCATGTTGTGTAAGGAGCAGTGGCAAATCATTGCAGCGTGAAAGCCCTCCAGTCCCAAAAACGGGCCTTAGTGCATTATAGAGCTGTGATATGATGTCCGAGCGATCATCTTGTATCCTACGAACAATCTAAACAGGGTGCCACTTGCGGCAGGGATTCAAAGGTTTTGTCCCCGTACCATGTTGGCCACAAAAGAAGCATGGGAAACCGTGGTCCCCAGCCAAGTCGGAGCATCGGCGAAATCGAAGCAGCTGTGGGTGGCATTGGCGTGGTTCTCAGCATGACATCGCCAACAGACATATCGAGTTTTCCACCATCGTCTAAGCATGAAGGTTTGATAGTGGAACTCCCAGTCCCCCTTTATTTCGGTGATTGCAAACTTGTGAGGTAGTAGGGCTCCTTCGAGGGTTCGTCCATGAAAGGCTTCGTTGAAGGATTCGACAATGGCCAAATATAAAGGGTTCAGAGTTTCTGGCCCCAATGATACATCAGCATTCACACTGAACAGAAGCCACTGCGACATTCTTGTTGACTTGGGTCGCCACAGCGGTAAGCTCATGAAGCATCCTGTAACCTTAGACTGATCATATCCCTGCCCATACCGAGCCGTGTCGCCGTAGATGGTCACAGGCACATGATTACCATCAAAGTCTTTGTTTTGGGCCCATATGCAAAACTCCTGGCAGTGCTGCCAGTATTGCCGGATGTCCTCCGGCCGGATCAATACTCCCAGCACACCGAACAAATACAGCAGGATTCGATGCGGTAATAGCACCGGGATGTTCACCTCAATAACTTCGCTAGAATCCTGCTTGGCCTTTACAGACGTGGTTACCATCACCGGCTCCTGTCAGGGTTGCACTAATGTGTGGCCCAGCTTACTAGCTTCAGTAGCCTATGTACCGAACTTCGAAAGCTAACAATTGTATCCCTAGGCTCACCACTGGCAGATTCATAGATCTTTCAAAGTCTCGTGCATTGTTGCCACCGCTGAATGAGCCCAACTTGAGCAGTGGAGCTGGAAGCCGACCCTGAGCATCCTTAAAGAGCCACAAGATGCAACATACACATGTAGAGGTTGGAGCTGGAAAGAAGCAAATGATTAGTCACTGACGAGCTGCTTTCACCGACGACTTAGCCGTTCTCATTTCTTTGCCAATCGAGGTATCCTCCGATGCAACCATCAGGCTCAATCTGCGTGGGCCCCGTTTTCGTGCAGTCACGGATATTGAGCCAAGCCACAGCTGAAGCGATGTTGTCAATCATATCAGCAACAACCTTGGAGTACTCGCCATCCCGGTAAGCGGCACCTGCGAATCAGAGTTTGATGATGCTGGATTATTAAGTAAAATAGAAGCTCGCCACACCATAGAATGCACACTCACTCACTGGAGCATTGCACTTGTTTGTCACCGGTCGCAGCCCGCCAACTCATTCGCACGATTGCACGAAACCCCCGGCTCGCACGATGCTACTCGGCAGGATAACTGGTTGCAGCTTTGACAGACTGTCCGAGGGGCGGTTCGCTCCAGCAGACACCCACATCTAAGAGTACATCTAGAGGCCCCTCCTTCACAACAAAGTAGGTGTATGATGCATGATTCATGCAACACAGAAACGGTTCAAGATAAGTTATTTTCGGGGCCATGCCTCGATGCTCCTCTTAGGATCTAGTCTCCACCCTTCTTCTCAGTCTTCTTCTTGACCCCAACTGTAAGAGATCCCTCGGCTTGGTCCAAAATCTCCTTGGCAGCCGTCGTCTTGTGGGTGATCCGGTCGTCCTGGAAGGTAGCATATCCAAAGCCTAGAAATCACTGGAATGCATTAAGGTTAGAACTGTCCTGAACCGAGTCCAATGCAGACTGCAACTGGGTACGGGCTGAGGTCAGCTTCTTGACGACAGCCTGGAGGTCCTTCTTCAAGGCATCCCGGACGAGCTCGTTCCTGGGAAAGGGTTTTTTAGTGTTAATAGTAGATGAAATGCATTCGTTTTGGGATCCGGACAACGAGCTGACTTCCTTGGACTCGATCTTGGAGGTTGCATCTTTGATCTTCCGGTTCAGGGTATTGATCACCTGGCGATATGAAGGAGCATTGTGTCTTCTGAAAACAGATTAGGGTTTAGGGTTTCGGACTTAGTTCGTTGTGCGTGAACCCTGCCTTTTTTCCCTCCTGCTGAACCTTGCGGCTTTGCTCCTTGTCCAAGTCCTCCTGTGTCTCGGCTCTGTTGAGCTTGTTCTTCCCCTTCCTCTTGCCCTTGCCCTTATTCTTGCTCTTCTTGGCTTTGTTTTTCTTGCTCTTCTTATCCTTCTTGTCTTTCTTGCATTTCTTGTCTTTCTTCTTCGCCGCTGCAGAAGCATTGCTGCTGGAATCGTCATCGCTTTCATCCTGCAGCAACAAACAAAAGATGTAATCCATGAGATGATGCATCTACTGGAGTTGAATGAACGAACGGATAAGTTCCCAAAGCAATGTCCTGCGAGCCATCAGAGCTGGAATCGCTGCTGTGCTTTTGCTGCATGCAGAAAAGCTCTTCGATTTCGTCAGTGCTCTCGTCCACCTCTTCGTCCTCGATCAAAACCAGGTATTGTTTGAGTCCTCCAGAACATCATGTGTTATTGCATAAAATACCGACGGGACGAAGATTGCAAACTAGTGTAGAAGTAGCCCTGCCTGGGAGATCGGGATGATCTCGGATTTCTTTCTCGGCGAGTTCACTGTCCGCTTCTTTGCGGACTATGATAGCGTCTACCACACTATCATCATTGAAGTGAGCCTTTAGCTGGGCTCTGGTGAGCCATCTCCTGGCTGCTCGCTTCCCGTTCTTATGCTTCTGCCGAATCGTTTTCATGATGTAGGAGTTCGCCCATTTTCCCTGGCATTGCATGAAATCCTCGTAAAGCGTCGACATTTTCGTCTTGCCTCAGCAAGCAACTTTAGCACCATGATAGATGCTGCAGCCGATCATAGTATGCACCTCAGGCCCAAACAATACTTGAACCTGGCGAAGGCATCCTTGATCTCCCCAGGGGTCTCCCGACCTGATATTTACATCGTATGGGGAAAGAAGAAAAGAGGAGTACTTCATTATCAGATCTGAGCCCATGGCTTTCGTTTACCGATCGCCAGAATCTCATGTAAAGCTTGTGTGCCTTCTTCTTATTCTCCACTGTCGCCGAGTCTTTTCCGGACTTCTTCTTGCCATCATCTCCCTCTCCACTCGTCTTGGGGCCCTCGGTACTGGACTTCTCGGGGCTGTTGTTGGCACTCTTGGGGGCCTTCTTCGGGCTGGGCTTCTTCGGGCTGCTTTCGGTCCGGGCCTTCTTGGGGTTCTTTCTGGGGCTGTTGCTGGGAGGGCTCCTTCCACGGGTCTTGTTGGCACTCTTGTCGGGGCTCTTGGTTCTGGTCTTTTTCGGCTGCTTTTCCTCGGTCGTGTCTGCTGGCGGCGTAGATTTCTCGGTCGGCGTTTTGTTGGGCTTCTCGGTTGGCGGCGATGTGGAGTCCTTGGTCTTTGTGGTCGCCGGGGAGCTTGCCTTTTTGGCAGCTGGGCTGGCCTTTGCTTTCGGTCCCTTGGGGCTTGCTTTCTTGGAAAGTTTAGAACCTCCAGGCATCGGGTCGGCAGAGCTTGTTGCCGTGGCATGGTCCTTCATTTCGTAAGCTGCTTGCTTGGCTTCCTCTTGCTCCTTCTTCTTATCTTCTGGGGTTTTGCTCTTCTTCTTGGGGGCTGGCTTGGATGGGCCCAAGTTGATCAACTTCTTGCTCGGCGGCGTGGCGGCCTCCTTCAGCTCAGCACTGAGACACCTCTTTGGGGCCTTCGATTTATCATCGGAGTGGCTGGCATCGGCCGACTTGTCACGGACCCGGTGTGGTGGAGTCGCCACCACGGTCTCTTGGGCATCGGCTCTGAGGGGCCTGGCTTTGGCTTTCTGGAAGTTCGCCTTCCCTGTGGAATCCTCGAGCTTCGGCCACGGGTTTTGAGCATCCTCGACCTGGCTGTCATAGGACCTGATGAACCAAAGTCAAGAGAACTCTATTGGTTGTGGGCAATCAGCACGAGTACCCCGAAAGTCGAACCAAGGTTTAGGCCAAGACCGTGTGGATGGGGATTTCAAGATGCTCGGCTTCGAAGCTGGTGTGGCGGGAGCACTCGGGGCCCGACCTGCCCTGGCCCGGGCTCTAGCAAGCACATCTTCCACCGTCACCATTCTAGGAAGCAGCAACCGACCCCAACCCAAACCAGGATCTCAACACAAAAGCCGAAAAGTGGCTACACCAGGCACATGCAGCAGTCAGCGAATACTCTTGCGGACCCATTGATTTCGAGTCGCCCCCGAACGTGTTTTGGGGATGGCAAATTTTCACGGGGTTCTGGGTGGGTTTCACGGGGATTTGGGTGCTTTTCACGCTGTTTTCACGCTGTTCTCACGGGCATGCTCTTGTTGTGGTTTTGCAAGAATCGAAAGACAAAAAATGACCTAACATAAATTCTCTTCGTGGAGAGCAGAGTCCCTTGCACAGGCCCGGCGGTGTCTTCATGCTGCTTCGAGATATGCTGCACCCTACCGAGCCTCAGCACTACAGGTCGTATAGTTTTTAATTGGGAGAGAGCCACATCGTTGTCTGGCTAGCACCAGTTTTCAGATTGATGATTGGCATCCACTAGGATTATTGTGGGGTCACTCGGGTTTCGGGTTTGCGACACTCACACCTGCAACTAAAACCCTAAGCTGCCCTAACCCTTGACACGTAAACCCTTAGGCTCTAAGCTTAGAATCCTAACCAATCCCACAATTCGTCTTGAACTCGTAGAACCTTACTAAGTATTTTGACACCAGCAACTAAAACCCTAAGCTGCCCTAACCCTTGACACGTAAACCCTTAGGCTCTAAGCTTAGAATCCTAACCAATCCCACAATTCGTCTTGAACTCGTAGAACCTTACTAAGTATTGCGGTGTCACTCGGATTTCGGGTTTGCTGTCCACACCAGTGACGAGAAACCTAAGCGCCCTAACCCTCGACCCCTAAACCCTAAACCTTTATCTGTTAGGCTCGATAAGCCCAACTAAGATTTTATGAGAACAGCAGGCCCAGGGTTTCGCCCGAAGCTAAAGAAGGCTGTCTTTTGTTGTCACCAGCCAATCGAAGTCCGGTCGTCAAGCCAGCCAGAGTTCCTCAGGCATTTGTGGCTTTGGTAAGTTATTTATATCACATTATCTCTCCGGGTCGGGCTTTGTGTAGGAGATAGGTCATTAGGTGGCAAGAGTATTGTACTGGACCAGCTCGAGCCTCCGATTCCTGTGTCGTTATTGAGGATAATGGTTCGTACCTTGTTGGCTTAATCAGTGGATTGTAGACAGGGAGGGCAGACCGAATGAAGTGTTATATTGGGCCAGCACGATCCTCCGATTTCGGGGTCTTGGGGCTGCGGGTTATCTGGATGCAAAAAGACTAGAGGATGGTTGGGGATCAGCCCGGGTTTAATATTTTATCGTTCCTAGGGATTGATTCAGTTTGGGGCTAATCAGAAACCCGACACAAATGCAAATCCTGTCCTATCTCTCAGCTTAAACCTGCCAGCCTCCACGGAGTTGTCGCAGTGATAGTAGTCGTGGCAGTAGCAGCAGTAGTAGTAGTAGTAGTAGTAGCAGTAGCAGTAGTAGTAGTAGTAGTAGTAGTAGTAGTAGTAGTAGTAGTAGTAGTAGTAGTAGTAGTAGTAGTAGTAGTAGTAGTAGTAGTAGTAGAGTAGTAGTAGTAGTAGTAGTAGTAGTAGTAGTAGTAGTAGTAGTAGTAGTAGTAGTAGTAGTATAGTAGTATAGTAGTATAGTAGTATAGTAGTAGTGTAGTCGTAGTAGTAGTAGTAGTAGTAGTAGTAGTAGTAGTAGTAGTAGTAGTAGTAGTAGTAGTAGTAGTAGTAGTAGTAGTAGTAGTAGTAGTAGTAGTAGTAGTAGTAGTAGTAGCAGTAGAATAGTAGTAGTACTGGTGGAGTTGGCGGTAGTGATAGGTGGTAGTGGCGGTAGCACTATTAGTATTAGTAGTAGAGTTGTTGTTCTGTAGTGGCAGAAAGAAGGAGGACGGGGTTTGCGGGGATTGCCTCAAACCATGCCAGCCGGAAACCACAAAAGCACGACTAAACCCTAAACCCTCAATCCGAAGTTGTGCCAGAACCTGCGGCCACTAACTTGTCATGCCCTTTGAACTGCTGCTTCGTACGACCAAGCCAATCCCCGCCATGCCCTTCGAACTGCTGCTTCGTACGACCAAGCCACGAATATCCGTAAATACGTACTTAACCATAGGCCCTTAGCCCTAAAAACCCGGTACCTAAACGGATTGAAACGAAAAACCCAAAGCCAGCTACTGCAGACTGTCTTGAACCCGGAGCTGAAAGCCGTGTGGCTCGGGAGCTGCTCGACTTCTGAGCCTGGTTGGACAATTTGGGGTCTGGAAGAAGTGCTTGTTTGTTTGGGCGTAGGAGCTTAAGGCCTCAGGTTGTTGCCTTGGGGATGTTGGTGCCAAGGGCTATTATTCCGAGGAGTGAGGGCGGTGTGGCCTCGGGGTTCTTGGGGTCTCGGGGCTTACCGGTCTCGTCTTTGCCAAGAACTTCAGCCCCCGACCTCGAACAATCACCCAAAACAAAGCAAAATGCAACCACCTGAAAACCTTATTCAAAAGACCCGAAGCCTGGAAGTCCTAGACCTCTTGCAGCAAGCTTCGAAGACGTGTGTAGTATCAGCTTCTGCACATCTAGCAACATCTTTCGATGGGCACACTCGCCTGGATCACCATTCGGCGACTCGTACAGAGAACTCCCACCTGAGAAGCGAGAGAAGATTCCAGTGACACAAAGCCAAATCAAAAGGTATCCAGCAGTGTGTTCATTGAGGCTCCAGGCGCTTTCTGCATGTTGGGAAACTTCGACCAACCCACTGTGAGGGTATTTTTGCGGTTGATCTCGGCAATCGGCAGCAGTGTAGCTTTAAAGCGACACACACATACACTCGGTATCTGGGTCGGCGGCCTCAAACTTATGATCGCACAGATTCTGCTCGTTCACCTTGTCGAGGATCTCTTTGCGTAGGCCAGTAATGTAGAAGTTGCCCGAGCCGAACTGAAACCTGATTCCGTGGGCTGTCGTCTGTGCTGGCAGAGAAGACATCTTAGCTTTCATATTTCTGGGATACCGGCCGAACACCAATCTTGCATTTGGATGCATCATTCGCCAGGGTCCAAGACCTTATCGACAACTAGGGTTGGGGGCAAGGTTCCAAGCCCTATTTTATTAATTCAGGAGTCAGAGAATAAGGATCGGGCCGGGATCCATTCAAAATCTCTTGCTCAGCAATCAGGAACCTTTTATCCTTGGCGGCAATGGCCCTCATCTCTTTCAAGGCTCGCTCGACCTGGCACGTGCAGGGCCGATTGAAGCAAGAGAGAGAAAGAGAGGGAGAGAGACCGACACCCAGAAAAACAAACCTGTTGTAACCCAATGCGAGAACAACAACGGCCGTTTAAGCAAGTACCCTGCTGCCTGCGGCTCTAGCTTTGGGCGTGTCCCGACATCCTCCTCTGCTTGCTCCTCCTCTTCTTCTGGGTTTTCCTGTTCCTCTTCCTGTTGCTCCTCTTGATCCTCTTCCTCAGGGTTTTCATGTTCCTCTTCCTCTTGCTCCTCTTGCTCTGGGTTCTCTTGTTCCTCTTCCTGTGGCTCTTCTTTATTGCGGCCCGGCTGCTTGCCCTTCTTCTTGTTCTTACTGGCTTTGCTTGTGCTCTGCCCCTCCATGGTGCTTTCATCCTCCTGCCCTGCTTCCTCCTCATTTTCCGCCTCCTTTTCTTTACCTTTGCCGGTCTTGCTCTTTTTGGCAGGCGGCTCTGGAGCATGAGCTGCAGCAGGCCTCTTCATCTTGGCTTTGCCCCGCCCTCCCCGACCCCTTCCCTTGCCCTTCTTTTTTTCGGGCAACGACTCAGGGCTCCTGGGCTCTGACATATCCTCGCAACCCTTGCGAAGGGCTGCCCTCGTCCTCTTCTGAGCCTTTGCGGGGCAAACATACCCAGGAGGGTAGAGAGCTCGAGAGAGAGAGAGAGAGAGCCAGAGATTGGAAGCAGCACGGATTAGGGTGAACAAGAAGCCTCCAGAACTGTGCGAGGGTCATCGTTCTCATGATTTGCTTCAGCCGCTTGAGCTGCTTTCTTCAGTGTCTCTTCAGAAAGCTTCGGCACCGGCCCTGGATTGTGTCCCTCATCCTGAGAAGCAGAAACCAAGGCTAACCAAGTGGTTTCTTCTACTTGACAAGAAGACCTGAACACTGCCAAGCAGAACTGGCCTTAAAGGTGCCCTTATCATCACCTTCGCTCATGCATGCTTCGGCTTCCTCTTCACCTTCCTCTTCCTCGGCGCCCTCAGCTTCCTCTTCATCTTTCTCTTCCTCTCCCTCATCTTCCTCCCCTTCCTCTTCCCCAGCTTTGCCCGTGGAGGAGGCAGCCGTATCCTGGTGCGGCAGCCACGAACAAGAAGCAGCAGCAAGGGGTCAGGGGTCGTGAGTGGCGGCTTAAATCGGATTAGTTATCTGATTGCTATGCTGCTTCGGGTCTTGAGCTTCGTGGGTTAAGTCGTTTGAACTTTGCATAATGAGATCTAAAAAAGCAGAGCTTCCAATTAAGGGTTCTGGGCTTTAGTACAAATAGAATAGGCTAAAAAGCTTCGACTCGCTAGCAAACGAAGTTGGCGTGAAAACCCAGGCCTTGCTTGTGGCTTTCGATTTCCTCTGAAGCTTCCCATCTGCTTCTGCCTCCTGCAGCAGCAAGAAGCTTCGACAACAACTACTATTTGCTAATGATAGGCTGTCCTCCTTTCGTGCTTTGATGACATTCTTCAGCATCTTCATCTTGTCGTGTCCAGGCCTGTGCCAAGTAAAGGCTCGATATATTATGGATAGCAGAAACACCTGCCTGGCATCCTTGTTTCGACGTGCTCTGTCGGCAGCATAGGAAGCTAAACTCCGTTGTGCTTGTGCTTCTTTTTCGATCCAAGCCTCAACATCCGAAGCAAATCAATCCCCAGACAAACTGAATGGATGGGGTGCCGGCAGCAGTCTCGTGCTTGCCCATGCATTCAGGAAGAAGACGAAACGTCTCATGGGCCCAGGCGAGACAGGCCTGCACGATCAAGGCTGAACCATCGACTTATCAGAACCACGAAACAACTGGCCTCCACTTCTCGTTTTGTGGGCATCCAGCCCACAAAAGTCGCACAGTAATCCATCAAGAACCCGAAGTTGAAGTCACAATCGACCTTAGAAAGTGGAGTGAGCAAACCAGTCGTCGCAAACCAGGATGAGTGCAGGCCTTGTCCTCGCTCATCTGGCAATTCGTGCCCAGGTCCACGAATTGGAAATGGTAGTGCCCCTGCCCAGGAATGCAACTTCCAATCTACGAAAACGATAATCTTCTGAATCAAAAGAAAGAAGGCCCTGGCCTCCTTCATCGATTCATCTTTCTGGGCCTTCTTCTTCGCAGATTTAATACGTGTGTTGATGAAATCCGGCGTCAGCATCTCGGTGTACAGAGCCTTCGCAAATGTAAATTAGAGAAACCAAGGGCTCATTTCAACTAGAAAGATCGGTCCTTTAGGGCGTCCATTCGCACATCGTTCAGCTTGACATCAGGCATGGCTTGGGGCCGGAGAAAAATTGGAAATCGAATGAGTGCCCCGAGCTAGCAGGCCGGAATTATTTCGGGAATCACTTGGGTGATTTCTCACTTTGCTTCAGACAACCACTGCAATCTTCGAGCCTGCAAAACTTTTCAGGTTCATCAATGCACAACCTGAAGCACCAGCCGACAGAGCAACAAGAATGGCACAGCAGAGCCGGAAGCGGAGGCACCACAGTCTTTCTTCTGCACAATCTTCTGCGAAAGACCTTATTGATGGCAGGAGTGCCCAAACCTACTGAATCCTGGGAACGAAGAGGTGTATGAGGCTCTGGCGCCTGGCAAAAGAACCTGGGATTTTCATTGCCAAAGGACCTCGCACAAGATTTGTTCTCCCGCAAAGTCGCGAAAATCCCCGGCTGATATGCTTGGAGCCCCACCTTCGATACGAGCTTCTCGTCATCATCCATCGGGACACATGGGATTCCGAAAGAACTGCTTCAAGTTTGATGGTTGGACTGGAAAATATTATCTCGGATGGTCTGAGGACAAGTTGTGTTCGATAGAAGTCTACTCTTGGAATCCACTTCCTTAATCTTTGAAGTTACTGGAATACAACGACGGGAATCTGAGAAAGCTTCCAAGTTATGCAAGTCCAGAACCCACTCAGGAACTGGGTGCGTTACGAACCCCCGCAGGAAATGAGTGCGTGGACGTGTAGGGTATATGGTCACGCGCTCCGCAGCCCCCCCCCCCTCCCCCCCCAAAGGTCAATGGTCCGGATATAGGGTGGGGCCCCCCCCTCCCCTGTGGTGTGGGGTGTGGGGTTCCTCTTCCCCCTGTGGGGTGTTTGTGGGGTTTTGGGGTTTAGGGTTTGGCTTAAGCTTTTGAGTTTTGGGTTTACGGTTACAAGGTATAAGGCTTCGAGTCGACAAGGGCTTAGGGCGGATTTGCGGTGTACGCTCTGCTTTAGGCTTAAAGCCTGCAGTTAGGTGGGGTGTAGGGTTGGGTGTAGCGTTTTAAGTACAAGTTAAGGTTGCTCAAAACAGGGGCACGCGCTGCGTTAAAGGGTCTACAGCTTGCTTGCGAAGGGCTTGCGCGTGAGCCCTGGCCGCCAGCACCACCCCACCATCCGGTGGCAGCTCCAACGGCCCCCAACCATTTCCGCGCAGCGCACGCCAGGGCCCCCCCCCCCCCCCCCACCCCCATTGGGGGGGGGGGGGGGGGGCTGGGAACGCCAGACGCCTGACCATATATATAGTTATGGTATTCTATACCGACCACATCCTATTCTAATTGTTAAGGCCCCTATAATAGGTCCAGCTTCTGGCGGCGTAAAGAAGCCCTCGCCCAACTTCCCTTTCGAACGCTTCACGCCAAACCATTAGCCATAAAACTCCAAATGGCAAAATCAATATCCAGGGCGGGCCACATGAAAGTCAACATTGTCGAATGCCGACTTGATCGTGTCGATGATGCGATAGTTCCTCGGAGCACGAATCGGAACACATCATTAAGCTGGGGGATCGTGTTTCGAAAGCGGGTCAATTGGAACTTTTAACCCTAAACCGTTTCACCTGCGACTTGCCTGGGCCTGCTTGATCCCCAAAGCAAAGGCCGGCATGGGCCGCCTTGGCTTGGACAGAAGCGACCATTTGCAAGCCGAGCCGATGACGACGAACAAGCATTGCGGATAAGGGTCCGCGGTTTTTTTAACACGTAGACCCATGATAAATGGGACCCCTGCACTCAACGGCAGTGTCATGAGGATCCCCATTAAAAACTGTATTCAGCGAACGGGACCATACAAATATATGTACATACATACATCACGTAAGGCCTCCGGTGCACTTGTCCTACGGATCCTTAACTAAGGCACCCCTCCAGTAAGTTTAATTTCAGAATCCCCCGGATCTTAACAACCACCAAGACCAAGCCGGAGCTTGGGATCCCTTCACCGTTCGTCCCGAGGGGCGTCTCGTCTGGGACTGCCCGCCAGGAGCCCGTTTCCAGGTCTCCGCGACGGACATGCATAGCGACGGTGATCTTGCCACCCTTGTTGTGGCATGCTTTGGGGTTTAGGACTCAGGCAATCTTACGCTTGCATCGACTGCAATGCAGATGAGCGAGCTGCAGTCTGACACCCTGCGTGCGTAAAACCTTCCACCTGCCTCGCTCCGAAGCCGAAAGTAAGATGCCCGCCTCTTTCAGCGCACCCTCGAAGTGGGGGACTTTCTGTCTCATGAGAGGAGAGGACCTGATCAGATGCGAGGCGTGTATCCCAAAACCTTAACCCTCCCAAACCCTACCTATACCCTCTACTATGCCCTACATGCCCACTATTGAGGACTCGATTAAAGGGCCATTGGGGGGTCCTGGTACATCCCTCAATGTCTTAGGGACCCTTAAGGCTTCCCCTCCTGACTTCGACTCTCGGGGCTCTGGTCTTGAAAGGGCCCTATGAAGGTTACAAAAATTACGAGTTCCTTTGCGGGAGTTTTATAAAGATTTCTAACTACAAAGGTTCCTTCAACGGCTTCACGTTTCGGGTTGGGCAGTTTGGTTTTAGGCCTTGGAGATGTGGCCTACGAACAAGGTTCTCGGCGCTCCTACTAGGAGGGTCTGAGAAGTGAAACTACCAATCGCGCAAACATGTGTCCACGTTCCATGTGGAAAGGGCAAAGGACAACAACCTTCCAAATAAAATGCAACCTGCTGAAGGACGTCCCTTCCCGACTGCAAACCTTGCGCTCGATAACCTGTTCAGGTCTACTCTGGATCACACTATATACATAGAGCTAGGGGGGAAGGTGCAACCAGGACCGCTATGGTTTCTGCAGCAACATGGGGAAAGCCCCAGGTAATAGAGTGTAGTCCGTGGAATCATCACGATTCCCCAATCGTTGCCATCACTGTGTCTAATCTGACGACACTCAAGATAAACTGACAGAAAGCAATCTTGAGTAAGCTCACCAACAGAGGTGCACTCAAACCTCACCCCTACTGAGATGCTGCACGAACCGGCCTCTAAGACGACGAACTCCTAATTAGGATGTGCAGTTGTGTAAGTTACGATTTCTTGCAAAAAAACATGTGATGCCCACTGCAAGGTTTGGGTTTTGGGGCTTCAGGTTTGGGCTTGGTGTTCGTAGGGCTCCGGGGTTCTAGATGCCGGCCCAGGTTTGTAGGGTCAAGGTTTCAATCCTATTACCGGCTTTGAGGCTTTCACATCCGGAGCACTGAAGGGGGCTTTACATCGCGGGTTTTCAGGTGTTTGGGCGGAACGCCCAAAGTCTGAATTCACAAACCGCACCTTCATGCAAGCTAACCCCAAACCAAAACCCCAAACCCCGAGACTCGAAGTCCAAAGCCCTCTTTTCAGCATGGGCTTGGATAAAACCCTAAACCCTAAACCGATTGTGTGCCAGCGAACACTCCTCAACAGCAGGGCCTTCTCGTTTGTCCAAAGCCCTCAGACCCTAAACGAGGCCTTAAGCCCTGAACCCTCTAGCTGCCAAGCCCTTCAACCCTTACACCCTACCCTAAGGCCCCATAGTAGTTCCTTTTTTGGGACGACCTTTTAGGATTTTATATATGAGCCCCAAAAAGGAACTACTTTGGGGCCTTAGGGTAAACCCTCAAAGACCAGAAGCCAAACGCAGCTCGGAGGGCTCACGGAGTTTCTTCCGGAACTCGTCGGTGAGCAGAACGTCCGCGTACCAGGGCCTGCTTTCAGTGATTTAGGCTTCACCCATAGGCCCCAAAGTAGTTCCCTTTTGGGATTACCTTTTGTTTTCTATATATGAACCCCACTAAGGAACTACTATGGTTTACGGGCCCAGGGCTTGGGCTTTAGGGGTTCGGTTAGGGCTTCAAGGTCTTAGGGCTTTAGGGGGCTTTACGGTCTGGGGTTTAGGGCAAAACGGGATAAGGGTCTCATGGACTTGGCTTCCGGGTTTGGAAGGGGCTCTGTCTGTTCATGAAGTAGCCCTTCGAGGCGTCCCCTGCTGGGGATTCGGAGTCCTTCAAGGGCTTGGGGTTGTAGGGTCGGGGTGGTCGGGAGGAAGCATCTTGTTTTGGGGGCAGGGGCCGTGTAAATACTCTGCTGAGTCGGTTTGGGGTCTTAGCAGGGTACGGTTGGGCGTAAGGGTAAGCTTGTTGTTTCCAAAACGATAAAGGCTTACTGGACTGGCTCAAATCGTCACAGAACCCTATGAATGCTGAAACCTCATCCCTGCACAGTCCCTACACCCTAGATGTACAGCCTAAACCCTCTCGAGAGCCCTTCGTGTGCGACCAGGTCGCCCTGTGCGGCAAGTAGCAAAGAGCACCGCCTGGCCGTTCGACCTTGAAAGGGTTTTTTCCTTCCTACCTAGCAAGGACGAAGACCGCGTTGCAGGGAATCTTGGTTGAACCTTGAAGGCTTTGGAGTTTAGGTTTTAGTATGTTGTAGAATATACGGACGAAGTCAAACATGCACTGGAGTTTGGGATCTCTACATACCTGGCCCTAAATGTCTGCAGATTTCTGCATGAATGAAAGATGTGTACATGGTATACGATCATCATAGTGGGTAGGCGCCTCGAATAACACTGTATAAGCCATAAGCTAAAACCTTAACCCTGAACCTCCAACTCCTTAAGCACTGACATCAAAACTGAGTCAACTCCGTCGAGGCATTGTCGTCTAGAACAGCCACGAGCAAGTTCAGGTCAGACTTGCTTTAGTAAGGCCCAAAACATGTGAAGCGCGTTGGGCGTACAGTGGCTTGGAATTCTGAGCTTCGGGGCATGTTATGTGAAAGAGGCTTAAAATTATGTAACTTTTGGGGAGGCTATATGCTATGATGTTGTGGTTTTAGGGCTCGGGACATCTAACAGCTCCCTAACTAAGCTTCAAAGTTCCAAAGCCAGCGACCAGGGGGGGCTCTTCGCAGCATCAAGGAAAATCTCTTCCTCTGAGTAAAAGCCTTGGCTGGATACAAAGCAGAAGCTTTTTGGCAGTTTTAAAGGAACCATGGTTCGACTGTACCGTGAGCTTTTCTGCGGAACTTCTTGGGCCATCGCCAACTGAACCAACGTTGAATGCAGTTTTCAAACTCAAGGTTTCTTGACCCTTCCCAGTCTGTATAGGAAAGCATAAACCGTGAAGAAGTCGTGCTGCAAGCATGCCCATGATCATGTGGCTTTCGATAGTAGCGGGAAGCGGTGGTTATCCTTTGTAGATTCCGGTACATTTGCGGTTGAAACCAGTGTTCTGACGTCATGGCCCCCGAGAAAAGCCACGAAGCTTGCACCACCCACGTACAGTACCGACTCACATACAAGCTTGAACCACACCGAAATCACACAGGGGCATTCTTCAAACGGCCGATCATGCTGTCGAAACGAACCCTAAGGAACCCGATAGCCTGTAGAAACCCATAGACGGGGGGCAGTGATCGAACTGAGGATTCTCCCTATTCACCAGAAGCTTGCCGTAGTCTGCTCCCAGCAAGACCGACATGCTTTTCCTGAGTGTCAATGGAGCCAAAAAATCCTACACCCTCTGGGCTTCTTGTGGGCTTCGCTTCAAGATGAGGCAATTAACGATTAGAACAAGGTTTCGGGGTATGCATCAAGTTATGGAGGAGCCGCGAAAACACGGATTGGCACTGATGCAGGCCCGCATGTTGCCTGGGCTTGTTTCGGATTCAGGGGGCATGTAACAATGTAGGAATTAGGTCCAATTTTTCATTACTCGTAGGAGCGTGCTTTCCCCAAGATTCTGCTGCTTCTTTTGTCACATCGGCATCGAGCTTCCATGGCTTTGCTTGATCAAGATGCCTGGAGCCCGGCCGTCATTCATGAGGATACATACCACTCAAGTGTCAAGGCCAAACATGTCCAGCCAAGCAGTTGGTCAAAAATAACTGCTTGACAAGGAGTCATAACTTCAACAGATTCGGTATTGCAAGCTGAATTGTTTTCGTAGCCGGAGGATCTTGAAGGATTGGATTTAGAAGCTGTCTTCCAAGATCCACACAGCTGCTACATAACCTATAGTTCTATGCTTATGAAATACACTGAACCGTACAGCCCTTAAGTTAAAGCCCTAAACCGCGTAAACCCCTCACACCGAAAGCAAGGCATCAAAACGCGATTCTGTTAAATACAGGCCTAAACCCATCAACACCCAAAATAAAAGAGCGGCGGCATGTCGACGCCGTGCGAGGACTCGTTCCCACTGGGAAGCAGCCCACCGAAGTTCAGCTTTGCGTAGTCGGCCATGGCCAACATCCTGATTTTGTTCTTGTTCGTCCCTTTTCTGCTCAGCGTTACTGCATCCTCGGGGTTTTAGTGATTCGGGCTTGCACCCTCCCAACTCGGACTGAGCCAAACGAGGTTTCGGTATGCGTGCAACACATCAGTGTTCGGGATTAATGGTGCCGGGTTGAGGGTGCCGGCACCCTTCGAGGTACCCACAATAGAGGCGCATGGAGGCGCTGTGTGGAGCGTGAGAGTCATGATTATATGGGTTAAAATTACTGGGTCACAGGGTAGTTACGGTGTCTAGGTAGATCGAGGTTGCTTGCAGCATGGGCTGCCGGGCATTATATACCATCAGAAGCTCCTTCTCCAGGAAGACAGGCGGAGGCTTCAACCCGAGAAGCCAACTGGAAGCCACCCAAGCTAATGACAGGATCGCTATGTTGAGGACATGTAAACTGCGGCTCACTCGGCACTGAAATTGCCCTTTTCCAACCCCAGATAAACTCCCTGCAAGTCCTGATTCGAAGCCCGATATGCTAAACTGAAATAAACATAACTAAACTGTGCTCCATGATGCTTCAAGCCAAAGCTTCAAACCCTGAGCCCCACCACAATGCATTCAAAGTAGCTTGATCAGGCCAGCACCCCGCTCGCCCATTCCGTCAAAGCGCTCTACACCGAAGAGAGTGGCCTTGGGGGAGATTGACGGATCCTTCCTGTTCATACATTAAACACATGATTATTTGGGTTTATACTGAGCTTAGGTTGACTTGCTATTGTGGGTTTCGTTGTGCTTTAGCTTAGGGATCATTGCGGATAAGGTTACGTGTAAGGGTGTCTTTCATGCATCGGACTTCATAGCCTAAAGACCTGCCACGCCAAGCTTCTTGTGCTGCTCTGGTGTTCCGCATTTGGGGGGCGAGAGAAAGCACCACACCTAACCATCCTGCCGGAGGAAAACTCGAGGCTTTGGTTGTCCAGCGCTTGGGTCTGTCTTGCCTTCCAAAAGACGGAGGGAGAGGGAGAGAGAGAGAGAGAGAGAGATCTGAGTTGTCCTTTAAGCCCTTTGAAAATTATTTACTATTATGGTTCTCTGCAAAATAGTAGGGGAAATTTAAAAACATATCCCAAAGGACAACCCAGAGATTTAACCAATTGGCGAGAATCGTGCAATGGCGGCTCTTGGCTCTAGCATACATTGACCAAAGCTTGACGTTTCGCGCCATACAGGGATAATAGTACCGCAATAAAGGCATTAAAGGCTACCTACTCTCATGCCTAAGAGTAGTCACTGGGTAGTCGTTGGCAGATCTTGCCTTCCGGGTCCTCTTCATCTTGCCCTTTCGAGCTCTCTGCTAGTCGAGCCTGCAACCCCAAACCTAAAGCTGCAGGAAAGCTGCTCCGCCATTCCCGGCTCCATTGCACAACGGGCAGTCCCCGACCGGCAGGTGATCCTCGTGATACGTCTTTTGCTGGTTTCGTCAAGCTGAGCGGCAAATGTTGTGCACGACCGTAGCATGAACGAGGATGACAACGGCCACAGCACCAGCAAAAGCACGGCCGCAGAAGCAGCAGCAACAAGAACAACCACAATTACCACACCAGCAACCACGACTTACCGCCGTCGCCTAGATGACGACTGCTGCTACGACCAATACCACCGCTACCACTACCACTACCACCACCACCACCACCACCACCACCACCACCACCACCACCACCACCACCACCACCACCACCACCACCACCACCACGACCACAACCACCCTCAGTAACTACAACCAGCATCCCACAAACACGATCATGGGCTGCCCATATTCCTGCAGAAGGAATAAAGCAGAAGCAACAAAAATACTTTCTTGGAGCCCAGATACGCCATCTACTGCACGAGCACTAAAGCCTAAACTCTGAACCCTAGAAGCCACAATGTTGAAAGTTATCTCTTTCTGAACCTTTTCTCACTGCCTCTGCCTGATTCTCCCTCGTCCCTGCGGCATCCTGCACCTCATTTGGGCTCCCCATGGCTCCCCGATCCGAGCCAGAAATAAGACTCCAGAAGCTTAGGGTTTAGGGTTTAGGGGGTTTAGGGTTTAGGGTTTAGGGTTTAGGGTTACCAGGATGAATCAGTGTGGCTGCGACGCCTCCTTGCCCTCGACGCCATTCTCGTCGTATGGTGCATGACCTTCAGGCGGTCGAGGCCGACGGTTACGGCTCGAGGCAGAAAAGCGTACCCACAACTCTAAACGGCAGTGGTCCAAACTCACTGAACAAACTCTGAAGAGAATGACAGCACCGTGAATTAATACAAAGATAGGGCTGAGGCCTCACGGTTCTTTCAAGTCCACGCGACTTCAGGGTAAGCACAGAACCGAATGCTTTGGGGCTTGACAGGGGCTTGACAAGAGCGAATGGGGTTTCTTTAACAGATTCCCATGTTCCGAAGTACCTCCTGCACAGACCGCAACACTCTGCATCGCGAAACCCTGTTACCAAACCCTATGGAGCCCTCCGCCCTGAACCCTTGCAGTCTCGCGGTTAGAGTACATGTACTCTAACCGCGAGACCCCATACCCTCGACCCAGAAAAACCTAAGTCTGAAAGCCAGCCTTTGAAGGGGTATCGCCCCTGTGTGGTCATGCACGTATGAGCCTCGGCTGGCAAGCAAGCATGTCTGTGTCGGGTTGCGGGGGCATAGATGGGCTTAGTGCCTGTGGGCCCTACACTTTAAACCCTATGCCCGAAACCCGAAACGGAAGTGGGGACTCCTTCTGTGTAGGAGCCACGGTAGGTTCCTTTTTCTAGAACTCGCTCACTGAGAGATTCGGAAGCCACTTTCAAAGACTTCGGACGTCTTCAGACTCACAGATAAAGAAGTCCGCAGCAAACTCTTATGTTGAGACAATGATTGTACTCCAACTCCACCCGGTTCTCTCCATATAATTAAGCGTATAAGGCATAGCCCATGAGATGTTTAACGCCCGTCGATCGCAATCTTGCCATGTTGCCGGCACTTTTGTGCACTCCATCTTGTCTTCAATCTCGTCACCCTGCGATGAGGAACCCGAACGTCGCGTCTGCACAGAAAACTTCAGAGCCCAGCATTCTATATAATTTAAGCTTCCAGGGGCTTGTTTCTAAGTCTAGCATGCTTGAGGCGACGTGTGGGCATGCGCCTCGCACCGAAAACCGTCAGCCGCGAAAAACGAAACAAACACTGCAAAACACTAGACCCTAAAGCCCGCAACCCTTTAAGCCCACCCAGTATAGGGGCCTTAATCATTAGATAATAAGGAACCCCCCAAAATAAGATCGGGGCCTGGTCATGATGGTGCATCTGCAGGAGGGATCCGGTATCACCGGCCTGACCCGATGCTTGCACTACTCCAATGGGTTTCTTTTCACTCCTACTTCCCCACAAGTGGTTTTAGGGTTTAGGGCTTAGCTAGGTTAGAGGCTTAGGGATTTCGGGATTCAAGGGCTATTTTAGGGTCCTGAGCTTCAGGGTTTAGGTGGGAGGGTTCAGGTATTTCGGCGCTCACTCTCAGACATGCCAGGCAAGAGGGTTTCAGGGTTTCCGGATCTGGAATATGAACCTCTACGCTGTCGCACCTCCACAAACTTGTGGTTTAGTTAGGGGTTTAGGGTTTGCCTAGACCCTAAACCGTTTTCCTCTTGGGAATCCCCACAAAGGCCCACATGGAGTTTCAGAGCTGAGAAAGACGAGAGCTTCAGATTCCTCATCCTACCAAGGCGACAGGGAGTTTCTGTTGGTTTTTCCCTCCTACTTGGCAAGGACGAAGCCCGCATTGCAGGGTACTCGGTTGAACCGTGGCAGGCTTAAGCATTGAAGCCCGGGTATGACTACAGCGAAAATTTCAGTCCTCTGGCAGCTAGATGGCCGCAAGAGCAAAACACACAAAAGGTTCAGGGTACATCTTCGACGACATGTGTTCAACAGAACTGCGAATGTGGCTATGCACATGCACTTCATGCCTATCTCTCTCACAGTGCCAAACTGCTTTGCCAAATTACAGTCTTGCAGTTCATACAGCAGGCCAGCAAAATGCCGATGCGTCTGCGTCCGTACAACACTGCGCCATTCACTTGCACTTTGCACCGACATGCACATGCAACTCCTTCCACTCCTGATTGTTCCCTCGACCAGGTTTTGGAGACGAGGGTGCCCGACAAATCCGACCGTATGTGCTGGCGCCATTGATTCTATGTCTGCAAAGCCCATACCCTGATGCCGCAAAGCCCAAGCAAGACCAAGAACCGTCCAAGTGTTGTGCTCTCCATACCACGCACACTACAGCCGTGCACATGGAGAGTGTTCCAGCTGCCCAGGCCCAGGCATGATGGCTCCCTGCATCCCAACGTGCCACACCACTGGCATGCATGGAGCTTGCGAGCCGGGCCAGCGTCAGGAGTGACGTTCTTTGCCGGATTTGGGGCTCATGATCAGCGCCCAATTCACGGCAGCTTCCGCCAACACCATACCTACAGTAGACCCCCAAAAGTAGGTAAAATAATGGCCCAAAACCTACAAAAAGCTATAATTCTACATACTTTTGGGGGTCCTCCAGGTAGAGACGACGCACTTGGAGTCTGCTGCACATCTCGCAGGTGTTGCTGCACCGACTCACGGGGTGGCAGAGGGCTCTCTGGGAAATCCTCTTTCTCATCCGCCATGTGGAGGGTTAGGGCTTGGGGTTTGGGGTTTAGGGTTTGGGGTTTAGGGGTTTAGGGTTTGGGGTTTGGGGTTTCGGCGCTCACACTCGGACAATCCAGGCGAGGCTTAGGGTTTAGGGTTTGGGGTTTAGGGGTTTAGGGTTTGGGGTTTAGGGTTAGGGCTTAAGGCTTCTGGATAGAGTCTCACACGGCTGAGCAGTATATTATCAAACCATACTTGTTATCAACAACCTGTATTGGCAGTTAAGGATTAAGCCCCTGTATGCGGCTGAGCCCGCTCCCCGCCGGCAAATGCCTGGCAACTGCTACTTCGCGCCGAGCCAAAGGCCAAGGAGGCCAACAGAACCTCAGCACTTTCAGGGCTCCTCTGAGGGTTCCTATAAAAAGCAGTTTCCACATGGGTTCCGCTAGGGGTTCCAGTACGGGGTCCTGTGAGGGTTCCATTGAAGGTTCTATACCTTCTAGCAAGGGGCACTGTTCAGGGGTGGGGGCCTTGGCGCTGGGCTTCCGGCTTCAGGGCGTGGGGTTTTAGACCTCGCATGGGCAATCCGAGCATCGTGTTCTACCTACTGCGAAAGCAAGAAGCTTCGCCGGACACATGCCATAATCTATCCTTACCTGACCATGATACGACATTCTGTCACTTATAACTTATAACCATCGCATCATGCCCAAGCAGTCTGGCCCTTGATGCGCGAAGCGAAAATCAAAAACATTTCCACACTGCAGATTAGGAGGATAGGTCGGGAAGCACCTATAGATCCCACATTGAGCTCCGAAATGCAGCTATGCAGCTCTTCTCCAAGCGCCCTGACGAACCATCGTTCGAAACCACTTTTCGTGGAAACGACGTGAATCGATTCGGTCTCTGACACGTTTCTTGGGGCATGTACTGCGAGCCGAAGAATCACGCAAACGTCCAGCATTTCCCGAGTAATCTACCTACTGTTTTACGGGTTCTATCTCGTACCTATATATGTTGTAGGGGCTAGGGGTAAAGGACAACTATTTCGTAGAGGCTAGAGCGAAACCCAGAACCCTAAATTAGGGCTGCGCGTATGCAAAACCGTGGTTGTCTTCACTTCACGCTTTAGCTGTGTCTTCCGGTAGAAGCAGCGCCCGAGGAACACGAGGGCTGCTCAAGACGCCACCCAGAGACAGTGAAGCCTCTACGTAAAAGACCCGGTAAACCATCACTGGGCCGGCTAAGAAAATCCTAAAACCCGTATTCAAAACATGTATAGTAAACTCTCAGAAAACAACCTTTCAATTTCCTATAAAAAAAAGTTGCTTTTTTATAAAAGGAAAAACCACCTTTTATAAGTTCTTACCCTTTTGTGGATCGAAAGAAACCCCGGAACCGAGGCAGGGGGATAGCCCTTGGGGTACAAAGAAGGTCGCCTTTGCGCAGTCGTAAGGTTCATAAACTTGTGGCTTACCTATAGTATCCATTGAAGTTCATTTTTTTGGTTAACCAAAACCTCTAGTATAGGATCCTAACCATAAAACTGATTAACCAGAAAAGGAACTACAATGGAGACTATAGGTACCATGGAATCGCACCGACCCCGAGCTCGGAGTGCTGCTTTGTGCTGGTTTCTGTTTCTTTCTGGTTCTAACTTTCGGGCCCCTTCGGCGCTCCTTGCTGTGCATTGCACGTGACACGGGAGGAAAACTCTCTCTGATAGGGCGTAGGGGGCGGGTCGTCATTGATTCGTGTTCAGGAGTTTGGATAGCTAGATGCCATCAGGCTTGAGGGTTCTTGGACATCTTGGCTGTCGAGACTGCCTTGTGCTTAGGGCCTAATGACTTCGGGACGGAGGTGTCAATGGCTGGTTCGTGTCGAGGTGTTCAACTCCAAAGTAAAAACCCTGTAAACCTACAATTAAGTGACTGATTGAATCGAACATCATGCTGTCTCTCTCTCCGTCCCTCTCTCTCTCTCTCTCTCTCTCTCGTTTTTTGCCTCGGATTCGGAGTTCGCCAGATTTTACCATCGCTCGCGAGTGGTCGGATGCCGCTTGGCGGCCCTGCAACACGCTGAAATGAACAACTCCTGCACTCTCCGAGGTAGCGAACTAGTCAGCCTGCTCAAAGCGTCCGAGCGCGTACATGCATGTCATTGCACCCCGCCCACCCCGAACCATAGATATGTCTAAAACTTGCAAGCACCCTCACCTTCCAAAACACCGAACCCTAAAAACCCTGGTTCTTGTGATTTTCCCGTTAAACATCCGGCTCGGACACACGCACTCGGTAATCTCGATCCTCGGAGACCTACATTGCTGTATCCCAGAGGATCCAGGTAACTAAACTCTGAAGCTGGGGGAAAGCCTCAAGATGTCTGGCTTAGGAGTTTAGGGTGCAGGGGTTCAGGGTTGTGGAGTTTGGGGCTTGGTGAGGGTCTGGGTTGCAAGTGCACTGTCTATTCACTTACCAGAAAGAGGCGTCCGGCAACGCTCCAGAGGAGCGCCCGGGTCCGTTTATGTTTTCTGCTGAGGAGCCCATTTCTCAGAGAAAGTGTGCTGGATATCTAGTCTAGAGCGCAGTGAACTTAGGATCTCAAGCTACTTTGAGTTAGGGCTTGGTCGGGGCCTGTGGGTGCTCGCTGTCCACAGGATCCTCTGGGAAATTTAAAATTCTCCAGGGAGTCCGAACTGCCTCAACAGTCACTGGTTGTCCCCAGCTAGCCATGCTCTGACTCGAATGCTGCATGGCAGATGTCCTACTGTTGATGATATAAATCCTGCAGTACCCACAATAAGGAATACACCAGTATTCCCATAGTTTAGGATCCTTAAGGTAGTGCAAGATTTAGATCATCAGCCGTAAGGTACTTACTTGCCGAGTAGGTTAGCCTTTCGGAGTTAACGGGTACCTACTCTACAACTAGGACCAATCGCACACCACATCTGCAAGTACTTAGCCTGCAAAAGCTACGTGAAGGACGTCTTACACATTGAAGAAAATAACTGAAGAGTGGAGGCGCGTGGAAGACAGTGAAGCTAACCCCAGCAGTATCGCAACTTGCACATTGAACAGTCTTAACCCAACTCAGGAAAGACTGTCGTGCCAGACCCGTGTACAAAGGAGCTGAACAATAAAGTCCGATTCTTTGCCCTTGACTCTTGACTGTAATCTTTTATACGTTCGTCTATTGTGCCTTCGTCTGGTGTAGTAAGCTAGGTTTGGGCACAAGATTTCTGAGTCTTTACCGAAGGGAGGCTCGAATGCCTTCCCTGATCACCTGCCATGCTTGGCTTTTGCCGCCTTCCTCTCCTCGATGCACTTCTCGAGTTTGGCCCTCGGCGAGGACTTTGGCAGATTTTCGCGCACGCGTGCGCGTTCGAGTTGGGAAAGGTCCGAAACCGTAAGATGCCCGCCCTAACACATGAAGTAAACGGCCATTTCTGTCAGGGTGCTTTTTCAAGTACTACCTTACTACAGAAGCGCATAGAAGTATGATACAAGCTAGCAAGGGGACACCGTGAGGATTGTGCATTGCACCGCATGTCTTGAACGTGTTCAAGTTAAACCATGCAGTGTGCCCCTTCGTAACATTGGGTTTCCAAGTGTTCAAACACGCTTGCTTTCAAGAAGGGCCCAGCAAACCCTGAACCCTGCACTCAACTAATCTCATGAAACCCACCCTCGATCCAAACCCCCAAGCAGAACTCCCCATCTAAGCTTTCAGCCCTACTCTCAAGCCCTATGACCCTAAACCAAAAACCTGACTATCCTGAACCCTAAGCTAAAAAGCCCTTGAAGCTGCGCCGTGGCATCCCCAAGCATGATACTCCAATCATCAGGCCCCGAATCCTAAACTATTAGGCCTCAAAAGACCCAGTGCCGACTGGGGGGAGCTGTGATTGCTAGGTAAGACTAAATCCAAAAGCCTACAAACACAATACAAAGGGTCCAAAGGACTCAATGCAGGTCAATAGTTGAGCCTTTCTGCAGGGCTTGGGGTTTGGGGAGTTATGATTCTTAGATATTCTTAGATACTTGACTTGGGCACTGACGGTAAAGCCTACCTATAGTCTCCATTGTAGTTCCTTTTCTTGGTTTAGTGAATTCTATATGCAGGATCCCAAAAGGTAACCCCCAAAAGGAACTACAATGGAGACTACAGGTAGCACCCACATAACCAAGCCAAGCCGCAGAGCCGACTGAGAGAAGTCCCCGTCCCGATGGACAGCCCAGTGTCCCATCGGATAATATCGGTTGAACCCGACGACCTCGGACTGGATACATGGATAGTTATCTGAATTAGGGTCACTTTGGGGATCCCCAAAATACATCCATAGAACATCAACCCAACAAGAGGACCCTCATTTAAAGAATCCAACATACGTAGTTGCGTGAATTTCAAGCACCCCCCTTAGGTGGCCCTACAGAACCCATCTTTCCAGAACTCTAGCTTCGGCTTCTCTGGGTCACCTGAGTCATATGGAAAAACGTAATGTTGTGGAGGGTGCAATCACTAGCAAGGCAAGCGGAAAGAGCCGAAGCCTTCAAAATTGGTAAAGCGCTACATTCCCCTTGTAGAAGTCCTCGACGCACACACTTCTAAAGAAGCCTGTAAGGAAATATGGATCCACAGAGAAGCTGCTCTCAACAACAAATGAGCCGGCCTGCAATGCGCCCCGTTTTCCAGTTCTATTTCGCCTGGAAAAAATGACACGTGTTTGAGGTTCAGACGTATACTGAATTGCTCGCATCCGTCATTAGCAACTACATTTTGTTGGTTACCACGTTTTCTTAGGAAGGATGCCAAAACGCCAAAACATGAATTTCTGTAACTCTGGGCCGCGGAGGTCGAGCCACTCTTAGACTTACGGCCGCTCCTAGCCACTAAAGTGCTCCCCAGTGGGACCACACTTTGCTCCCAAACGCGACGTGACAACCCTTGATGGCGGGTACTTAGTCTGTAGCACGTAAAGTTCGTGAGTGCAGAGATCGCTGAAACTCTGGAGCATTCTGAGTATGCCGATGCTTACCAGCCCCCCATCGGCCATAGCGCTGATGATCGTCGTGACGGTCCATGGCAATTTCTGCTGAAAGCTACACACCGCAAACTCCAAAGCCTCATACCGCGAATCTCTCGAAATCTCCAGCTTTCCGCAGCTTTAACCAGGAAATGCCCAAACATGCCTAAACGGAAAGCCCCAAAGTCGAAGACACCTTAGTCCCAACTATGCCCAGGACTCCTTGCTTGCAAGCAGTGCGGCGCAGTTCGGATTGAAGACCCCCGGCACCCAGGCAAAGCTGCTCGGCGACAGCAGAAGCACATCGGCCTATTCCGCTGAGAGGGTCTTTGACGAAAGCTGATACAGAAAACAAGGTTCCAACCCCATGTTGGTGCAAGAGGCTTTGTCTTTTGTTTTAGTGGCTTTAGGTTTATAGGATGCAAGGTAGGTTCAAAGATGTAGTACGTATAAGTTATGATGTAAGTGCCGAAGGTGTGGCCTTGCTCCTAGAAGAGCCGATAACCAGGGCAATACTGACACCCCTGGACTGCAGTGATATGAGTGCTTCCGTAATTAGAAAGAGGTTTTGCACACCCTCTGCTATACTTAGGCATCACAACTGAGACCTAAAATCCTTGAAGGCCAGTTAACTTAGTCATGGGCTGCTCTGCTAGTGGTACTTTACGGCCGGATACTGGTAACGACCGGGCATCTGGGGCTGGGGTGAACTAAACCATTCCGACTGATGCGCTGAACCGCTGCACCAAAAATCTGAACTTCCAGCCGGCGGCATCAGCAAAGGCAAAGCCGTCTACCGGCATTCACAATTCCACGATGAAGACAGAACTCGCCCGGAGACTGAAAGTCTTCTTTACCCCCAAACCGAAGCCCTCTTGGGAAGCTATAAATATGTAAGGATCTCAAGGCCTGGTTGATCAGCTGTCCAAAACCTACGTAAACCCTCAGCCTGCAAGCTAAAACTTACGCCCTAAGCTCCCATTAGAGCTTGATCGGCAGTGCGGAATGCCTGCATCATGTGGGCCCAGTCGTCCACCTCGTTGCCATCCTGAGGAAGTCTGAAAGTGAAGGACCCTTGCAGAGTTACAGTGGGGCTTTCATGGTTCCTTTCACTAAAAGGTCGATGAACAATGTCAGGTTCGACTTTGAAGAAGCGGGTTCTGAGTCTTGGCGGCACTCAAGTCTAAGCAGAGTACAGACAAAAGACTGCAAGTGTCAGGTGGAGGATCCAATTCCCCCAAATAGTCTGCTACGACAACGACGACGACTAGCGCTACTCGGACAGACTAGCACTAGTGCTAGGGCTCCTGAAAGTCCGAGCCGGCAAGTCTCAACACCGCATGCCATACAGCCCTCAACCAAGAACCCCTCAAATGGAATGCCAAAAACACAACAACCCGGGAAACCCAAACCAACAAAACGAGGCCATCCCAACAATCAGCTCAGCGCCTAACCCAAACCAACGGAAACCTTGAACTCAAAACCTCTCAGGCACTGAGTCTTACGCGAAATTCGATGGACCAGGTGCCGTAAATCACACCAAATTACCAAACCCAGAACCTTTAAATAATGGTGAAAGTATCCTATGTGATCTAGGCTCTACATCACCCCTCGGTCACTTTCCGGCAAGCAGCCAGATGGACTTCCGCACCCCGGTTGCGGTAGCCTCAACGACTGTGGGCTTCAGGGTCTTAGGACCTTAGGGTGTGAAGTAATAATGTGCTCACAGTTTCAGAGACAGCGAGTGTAGCCACTCCCGGGACAAAGCCTGATGCGGTCTTATCAACTGGGGCGGCGCTCCTACCGGATGAATTACTTCATGCAGACATGTCTCTTCCACGCGCACGCACACACAAACAAACACATGCACACAAACAGTCGCAGACAAAGACACATACGCATACACACACACACACACACATATATATATATATATATATATATATATATTTATATGTATACATATTCAAATGTGCGGGCACACACAAACATACTCACATCGTGCGCGTACTTGCAAGCCGCAGTAAACCTCCTACACCCTGCTCTGCTCCCTAAACCCCACAAGCTGACCCGTTTCGGGTGTCCCTCCTCCCAAATGTTAGGAAGAGGCGCTCTTGAAGGAAGCAGGCTTGTAGTTCTTCTCGGTCGAGCTGAATACCTGCTTCTGGGCGCCCCAGCGCTTTCTGTGAATGGTTTATGAAGTTAGGGTCACTTGCGATTGTGCATCCAACGCTCACTGGTGCGTGGGCTTGGGGGCTGCAGGTCGGCTTTGGGGGTTTAGGGATGCAGCCCTGAGCCCGGTAAACTCGTAGGTTGTGCTCCCAGACTTCCAGGCTATACCTGGACCCCAAATAACCTACCTTTTTGGGGTTCCCCAATATTTGCTAGCGAATTATCAACCCCCACCCCCGGCAAAAGCAGTTGAAAGAGGCTTTGGGAACAGTTCTCCACTCCCCTGACCGAGCCAGGATTTTATTTTGAGGGAACCTGTTTTTAAAAACAAAATAATTTTATTAAAGACCGAAGACGATTTTAATAAAATCACATTGCAAACATATTTCCTCAGGAAGCGAGATTTTATTAAAAAACGAAAAGAGTTTAAAACCGCTGCGAATTTAAATGTTCCTCAATGAAAAATCTACCCATTGCCCAGAAACTTGGGCGATCTATTAAAATCTCAGGGTGGGGGTGGGGGGTATAAGTTGGCCGATGAAATATGATGTCCTTATATAAGTCCTTGAAAAGGTAGGTTGTTTGGGGCTAAGGTAGCCCCTCCGAACAGAAGGTTTTTGAATCCACGGCAAAGGCCTCAAATCCTGGGATCTGGCAGTCCACACGCTGCAGGTCACCATCGGTCCGATGGAGAGGACTGATATAACATGTAGAGTAAGATTTCTGGTATTCGCACATTTACTGCATAGGGGCTCCGAGGAATCTCCGATTAGTCAGATCCCTGAAAGAAAATATTACTTTTTGGCTGAAAGGACAGAACAAATAGAACGCCAAACCTTATATAGACGTTAGGTTTTAAGGCCCTACTACACCTAAAACCCTCCCAGACCCCGCCCTCAAACTCTACCTGAAGAGCTCTTTGCAAAATAGTCTGCAGCTTGTCGAGCACGCAGGAAGCTTACTATCCCCAGAAGGGAATCCCGGGACCAGCAATATCTGAGAAGACTCAACTCGAACCCCCCAACATAGCCGGTTTACGAGGCATTGGAGTTTACGATAGTTTAGGCTTTGGGGGTTTACCGGTTTCGTGGCGTGCCGGTCGGCAGTGCGGGCGGGTTTAGGGGATCGAGGGCGCGTGGATCTCAACATCGTCGCCCGCGATCGACCGCACGGTGTTCATAATCCTGTGGTACATCTCGTCCGGCATGCCTGTCGGTGCATCGTCGCAGCTGAGGCTTGTGACAGCCAGGGCTTGGATTTTCGGTGGATCTTCGGTTTAGGAGATGAAGTAACCTTCCTCTCTTGGTCACTTTCCTGTCTTGCACTTTCTGGCTGTGGAGGTTGGTCCAAGTCAGTACGTTCCTAAAGTATACTCAGATTTAATTGCAAACCTGATTGTAAGGAGCTCCCTTGCGAGGGCGTGTCGGAGTGGCACAAGGCTGAAAATACTGTAGGTCGACTCAAGTCGCAAACCTCAAATCCAAAGCCCCAAGCAATTAGCCGGCGAACCCCACGTCCTCAACCCCCAAGTCTAGAATGTACCAAACACAGCCCTGAACCACCTCGGTTGGTTCCGATGTGCAGGTCCCCTCGCCGCAGGTGCATAGCCACTCGCAGTTTCTTCGTCTTGAAATGCCTCGGGCTCTCTGCGGAAAGTACGGTTGGCCTATTCGGGAAGTTACATATTTCGGAACTATTCCTATAGGGTTTAGGGTTTGCGGGATTAAGGTTTAGGGGTTTAGGGTTGTTTAATGTCTATATCAGGATCTCGCATGTTCCGAAACTTTTATCTGGGCAAGGGCCTGGTACCTGATCTTTGATTTGAGGCTTATAGGCCTCTGGAGTATGAAACCACCCTGCTAACACTCAAATGCACGCTCATCAGGGTCCCCACCAGGAGCCCTACCCTACAGACATTCGCCAATCTCGGAACTTTAAACGGATGAAGAAGCCAAGCACTAAATAGCGATGCTTTGAAATAACCGTAACCCTTGTTGAAACCTCTATGGCAACACCTACAGCGACCCTTGTGGCAGCCCTTACAGTAGCCCCTAAAGTACCCTGATTGTAGCAACCCGACCGCACGCAATCCTATTTAAGTTCAGCCCCCCACGCCCCAAATTCCAAATTGGCAATTGCAACTTGTCCCTGTATGTCTCAACCCTGGTCCGGCTAGTCGGGCGAAGTGCTCGGCTGACAGCAACCCCTCCAAATCATCTCTGACCGGGTTTTATAACTTTTCCGAAGGTTTTGATGGCTGTATATGGTCCCGTTAGCATCAGAGAAATTTAAAGTCAGGCTTGTCCGGTTGTGAAGCTTCCGGGCAAGCCCAATTGTCCGGTGAATCAAGATACAATTCTTCAATCATGGTAAGACGCTAAATGACTACATGGGCGCGCTGGGTTTGAGGTTTAGGCTTGGAAGGCATAGCCCCGCTGCTGAATGCTTCGCTCGGAGCTTGAAACTCCGTCAAGGGCTCTTATTCTGTAGGCGTTGGCCTCTGCCTCCAACTACCTACTGTTTGACAAAGAAGTCGTGACGCACGATTTCGTAGGGTTTGGGGTATGGGGCGTAGAGTTTGGGAGGGGTCCAGCGGCTTTGTGTTAGAGTTGTGGTATCGTTGCAGCCTCTGATCCAATAAGACATTATAAGGTCTTCATAAGGCTTAAGTCAACCCCCAAACCCTTTATAGCACAAGCTGCCTGATTGATTCGGGGAGCTCGAAGCAAGAGCAACGCGAGAGTTTGAAGATCGAATGTTGAATCCAATCCTTATAAACTTACCCCCTGAACCATTAAACACCATAGAACGCTTTTTGCAGCCTAAATCACGGTGTAGCTCTTTTTAGCAGAGGTGTGGATTTTCGGAGCTGGTCCTGATCTCAAAACTGTAGGGTGCCTAGTGAAGGCTCTAAGCGGGGTTGAGGCGTCGGTTGAACTTTAATGTGCTGACATTTATTTAAGGGTTTAAAGGGTCTTTGGGGTTGGGGTTTAGGGTGCTCTCGAAGGCTTTCAGGGTGCCCGGCTCCGAGTCTACTGTTTGGGATTTGATTTTATGGTGTTGGGGCTCGGGCTGGAGAGGTTTTGGAACGAGGGTCGGGTTTTGGGTTTAAGGTTTCCGGGTGGAGGGGTGCAAGTGGTTGTAGATATCCCCACCCATGCGCGCACGGCCACGTGCAGTTTAAGGTTTATGGTCATCAATGTCTTGAAGTTGAAAGCATTGTGTTCGGAGAGCGGGCATGACAGAATGATCGCCTGTCACCTGGATAGGTTCGTAAAGCAGATTGAGGCTCATGAGGTTTTCGGTTTGGTTCCTACACTAAGGATTTGAGCGTTGGTCTACCGTCAGCTACCAACACCTACTTGTTTTGTATGGGAGACAGTCCATATTGAGGTGTATTGTAAGACTTACGGTAGTTGATTTGTCTTTCTCTCTCTCTCTCTCTCTCTCTCTCTCTAATCAGTCTTCCATGCTGACTTTAAGAGGGAACCTGTGGGACTTCAGAATGCGGCAGAACGACCAATAAATGCAAGCGCAGAGTGCACCTCTGAAGATGGATGGCGCCTACCACTGTCAGATGCGACGACACACTCTGCACAACAGTCTTTAACAACCTGCAACCTTAAAACCCCGGTTGCTTGCTTCATAAGCTTTTCTACTGTGACTGTACGAGGACGGAAACCTACAATGTCGGCAAATGGGTTTCTGGGGGGGGGGGTGAAACTTTGTGGTTTAGCCCAGCTGAGGCTTCAAACTTCACACCCTGATCGGCATTCAAATCCTCTGAAAACAAACAAGACCTTGACTGAGTGAAATCCTACCCCAAGCTTTTGTGACACAGCCGAGGATCCAGGAAGCTCGGCGTAAGAAGATCACCGTTGTGGACCTGTTTGGCACGACATCCGATCTGACTGCTGGCTCGATGCAGTTTCCTCGATGTTCGGCTTTTCAACACTTTTGGCCTTCTAGGAAGTACTCGTAACCGTCGGCACGATGCGGCTTCATGATTTGTAGCCGCAAACGGTACCAAGTAGTGGGTTATGTTATGATCCAATAAATTTCAATCAATTCTGTCTTGTAATTAAACCTTCAAAAACCCTAGGGTATGGGATCCACGGGGCGGACCCCTTTATCTTCCTGTTCTTGGTCGGCCGAACATTATCCTACACCTCTCACTGCTCCAATATGTTCCAGTGAAAACCTTAACCCCCAAGGTTTGCTGTGATCCCTCGATAGCCCTTGTTCTTGAACCATACAACCGGCTGCAAGCTGCCAGGGCCCTCACCAAGGCCTTTAACAAGCCTGTGTTCTCTTTCACCATTTAACACTCTCATGCTGCAATAATGCTAAGGGGGCGGGGTCGAATTAATGCTAAGCTATAGTATCTATAGTGTCGGTATAACCGAAAAATCCGAAACCCTCATTTGCAGGTTCTTGCTGCTCTCTAGCAGCATACAAACACCCTCCAAGCCCAAACCGTGCTTTTTGCTTTTCATCGGATTCTAAGGGGTTCTAATCTTGGGGAACTTCGGGATAATAAGGGTCTCCTGCAACACAGTACGTATAGCCTCCAAAACCCTGTGGCCCTGGACCTTCCAAGTTGTGCATGCATATAACTGAAGCCCCAAACACCCTCAATGAGACAAAGCCACACTTGAGACACTTGAAGCTAACCCGATCCACAATAGCCCAGCGATTCTGGCTTCAGGGTCTACCGTTTACGCATGGTTAGGATGGTTAGGGCTTCAGGGTTAGGGATTTACTGTGTGCACCGAAGCTCTTCCGATGCTTCAACCCCCGGATTTTCTTGAAGCGTTTCCTAGCATGAAAGCCGCTGATGCATTGCTGCACGGCGGAGCAGCCTAAAATTGACTTGAGCAGCCTCAAACTTGAGCAGCCTCAAAGTCAGTCCTCAATTACGGCTTGTGCGGTTGAAGTCAAGGTGACCGATTGTGGGTACACCTTCAGCCCTCAATACCCACCCCCTCGGCTCGCCAACATGTGAATTACCAGCCCGGCATGGGCAAAGCGGATGCTCAAAATGCACACCTGGCGATAGGATGAGTATAACCAATTCCAGTCCAGACGCTCTTCGCCTCAAAAGGGCTCGACTGTTGACGTTGAGCTCGCAAATGACCGCGAATGGTTAACTTTGCAGATTTTGAAAAATAGCCAACAATGATCGGATTGCAGCGGCGCCGTCCACAAGTCAACAAACAAAACCACCAGAAGAAAAGCTCCTCCCAACGCCTCGTCGGCTCCCATGAGCTTCGCATAAAGCAAAGGTGACCATCCAAATCCAAACGCTGCTCGACGACAAGTGGTAAGACATCTACGCATGCCGTAGGTGTGACAGTGGCAGGCTTCGAACTTCAACGGCATCAAGCTACTTTTGTACCGAAGCGCATGTTGGTGGGGGCGTGTTTGACTGCCTGCCCATCCTGCAGCACCTCTTTCCTGAAATCGCATCGCGGCCAGTGAGACATGATGCGGAAAACAAGATGCCCGGCAAGCTTCAAAATGCTGAGGTCTGTGCCCTCCGGGCGGAAGTCCAGCTCGAAAGGGGCCACAGGTCAACATGCTGCTTCCAATTTCTAGCTTCGGGAAGTGGTCTGAGCACAGACCAAACGCAAGCACGCCCATGTGAATCAACCAAGCAGGCCACCACCGCGTGCTGTTGTAAACTGTTCATGCGACGCGGAGAGCCCAGTCCTGCTGACCCAGGTTGCAGAAGCACCTTTGCAGCCCCGCGAAGTGTCACTGATCATCGCAACCTGCAGACCCCACGCCTTGAAACGATAGATCTCTGCGACAACTGTAACTTAGGCGCACACGCGCCGTCTCGTGTTCGGGGCTGCTAGGTATAAGCTCTGCCCGCATATTCAAGGTCGCCCACATAGATTCACGCGCTGCATCTTGTCAATGCCAACACTGACATCAGGCGATGCAGCCTGTTCCCATGACCAAGTTGGACATGCAGCACTTCAGCAAGTTACCAAACCCAAGTAATGGCACCGAACCTTCTGCAGCTTGGCGCACTTCTTAGGGACGAGGATCTCGTTGGTCCACATCTGGGTGCTGATGCCCATCATGCCCTTGGCCTTTCACAAGAAACTTCTGTAACTCGAAAGGACATGCCGGGGCACCGGACCAGCAACATCTCCGGCGGTGTCTCGGCATCTGACCCAACAGGACCCAACAGCACGGTCCTGAAATGCGTAAACTGTTTTTGTCCGCAGCAGCATGACACGTGCTGCTGACACTCGGCACGCTTGGCCTGGCTGCCCCAATATGGCAACACGGCTCGGATCTGAGCCGGGTCATAGACGTGCCCTCCACGCACCCAGAGACCCAACCTGACGGAACCACGCGCTTGCAGACAAGCTCGCGGAAAACGGAGCCTTGCCTTTCTGCAACACCGACCCCGATCAACATCTGGCCATCCAAGAAGTTGACGCTCATTGCGCGGAAGAGAACAGTCTCAGGGTACAGGAACAGAGGTGCGAACGACATTCAAGCATGCCTCTATGTGTAACCCACGGAAACTTCTTTTGCAGGGACACTGCGTGCATCACAAGCGCTCCAGGAGTTCCTCGAAGTCCGCATTGGAGGTGTAAGGTGGCCAACACCCATCGCGCGAAAGAGAGCGCAAAGAGGTGGAGGAGTGCGTGCTGCATGAGCCGATCTACCTCAAGTCCAGATGGACGGCGCATTGCGCCGTAGGATTTGTGGCGGCTTGGCGGGAGCATGATTTTTGGAGGCGGGACAAGGGCTCGCAGCCAAAATGATCCCGCCTGCTTCGCCCACTTCTCACGCATGGGCGTGCGCTGGTAGGCGTTCTTGTTGAGCACAATGACAAAACTCTAAACTCTAAAGAAAAGCGATGGCACTATGGAAATGCATGGCTCAGACCAAAAGATGCTTGACAGCTTCCTGCACAGGCTAGAGCATTTACAACAACGCTAGACTTCTCAACTATCACTTTTCCGCGCACCTTAAGCCGATTTCAATAAAAAAACACGATAAGTCCTAACACCGGAAACCACTTTGTTTAAGACACTTGAGCACAGCCAGCTTGGCCTAAACCCTACGGCGCTGGTAGGTACAAGCAAGTGGTCTGAACATTTGGCCCTGACGCCTTCATCCCCGGTATAGAACCTTTAAGCCCACAACTTGAAGCCCTAAACCTACATGTCGGCAGGCCCAGCTACCATGCCCGTGATGCAGCCCACAAAGAGCACATCTTGTCCGTGATGCCATGGCGCCCCCTGATCGCTCATCATGGAGTTTGAGTTCCGTGGGGTTTTACCGGGGATTTGGGGGCTCCCGTATGGTATTAGATGTTTCCGTGCTTTTGGGGATTTCGGACCGCAATAAATTCGAGGTTTTCGTGGCATGAAAGAGAGAAGCATGAGTGAAGTCATAATCATAATCTGAAGGAGAGGTTCTGAGTTACCAGCATAGTACCTCATTCAGATGCCCAAAAGCTACTCTCGAACAGGGTTTCGGGATACAGGAGGAAACTGAAAGTAGACCAAGGACTTAGGAGTTTCAGCACTCGCAACCGGCATAAGCCAAGGTTTAGTTATGTAGGGCGTGGGGTGTAGGGTTGCGGGTTTACGGATTTTACGGGTTTGGGTTCTCTTATGATGGGGCATTTTCGATGCCTAAAGTACCATAGGTCCTCCACGCCTCAAGTTCACGCTAAACCCAAGGACCTCAATCGTCCAAATATTCCGGAGCTTTCGAAACAAACAGATCGTAGCAGATCCCAAACAGCAATGAGGATCCATTTCGTAAGACCTCCAGTTGCAAGCAGCTGGCATGCTCTGCGGCGTCCAAGATCTGCTGCTCATCTACGAAATAGCAATGGTCGAAGTGGGGCGCGTGAGCCTCCAAGGCAAGTCGCTCTCTTTGGGTTTGACCATGCTTCAGAGATCTTGTAGGATGCTTTTTGGTACTGCTGGCTTTATGGGGCGTACCGTTTCCAGGGCTTGGTGGCTCGGAGCGATGCGTAGAGCTCAGAGTTTCGAAATTAAGCGTTTCGGGCTCGAGGCTCCAATGGATACATATGGGCGGTTGTCAAAATTAGGGTCCCTTGGGGTCCTTAATATAATACCTGGAAAACCCGGTAGCCGGAAATAACCGGCAACTGACGAAAGGAGCTTGCTTTTAAATGTTTTTTTGCTCAGTGCCCGTTTTAGTTTGGGCGAAGCAATGCAACAAAAACAAATTCAGATGTGTCGATGAGTTTTCCTGGACATATTGCTCCACAGCTCGCGTCGACTTGTCAGTTTTCTGTTTCGCCCGCAGATTCGTCGAAACGGTGACACTGTGGTGAAAAGCCTGTGTTTTGGATCGGTCGCTAGCTGACTTGTGTCACGACAAGAGAAATTTTTGAGATGAAGTCCATGTCCATCTGCGCTCATATATCGGTAAAGGGGCCACCGACGGCCTCTGTTACATGCTGCTGCCCGTAGATTTTTGATGTGCGCGAGGTTTATGGCACTTCTGCATTAGTTTTAACCATGTTCTCTGAACGACAAAACTGCGGTGGGATGTCTCCAGATTCGGTGCTTTAAAACTTCCAGGCTGGCCTGAGCGGCAACATCACATCTTTCGAGGGACTGCCATAGCCCAGATCCATGTACTCTGAAAGCATAGCAAGAACTCTTCACCTATTCATGTCGCGCAACACTGTCTTCGAAGTCCTTGTCCAAGACACATTGCATGAACTGTGACAAGGGGCTCGGTCCCGGTTCAACAACATTGCACCAATACGTTCAGACTCAAGTAGAAAGCCTCATCGCAACCCAAATCTTACTTCCTCACGACTTTCTCGGCTGCCTTGGGATGCAATCGACCCGTGCGGTGTTTGGCATTCCAGGCAGCTCTTGTTGCAGCACACGCTATCCCTTCAATCTGTTGCTTTTCCTTCTATATCTTTTGTTGTCCGACTTGACAAATCGAGGCTCCCTGAAGGATTGCCCCGCGCACATCGTGGGACAGCTATGGGCTTCCGAGACAAGACGTCATGATTTGCCTTTCACAGCGGCTAGCTAAAAACCAAGAAGCATGCATGGACTCCAGCAGCGATCATACACAACCGTGGCCATGCGAATTACGATTTTTTACGGCACTTTGTCGCCTTTTTACGGCACTTTACGGTTTTTTACGGCACTGCACTTTTCTTCTCGATCGTACCGAAATCGATCGATCCGACAAAAATTGTTTAACAGCTGCAAAATTTCGTCGCGGTTTTGCGTATCGAAACCAAACTCCGGACACATCTAGCAACATCCTGCAACTCATCAACCAATCCGGCAACCTTTATCGTAAACTTTTGGCTCCCCGATGAAGATCCCGCAGCCGCCGTTAACTTTCCTGTACATTCTACGACTGACGCGATAAATCCCGCAAGATGCTGCAAGCAACACCGACGAGCTCCCGATGAACACAACTTCCTCAGCCCTGCAACTCCGCAATGAAACTCTGGAGATTATATGCAGCCCCAAGTGACAATCGATACGTTTCCATCCTTACATCAAATGTATATAGGTATCCGTGTATGTACATGCAGTCGCACCTGTATAGAGCTGTAAAGTCGCGTTTTCTATCACGGCATGTTTTTACGTGTAGACTGCATAGCTAACACATGTAGGTGTAGGCCGGAGCAACAGAAGCCCACTTCCAGTATGCAAGCACTTCTTAGACCTGCAGGTTTCGGGGTTCAGGGTTCGTTCTCAAGACATAATATCGTTTCCAGCTTTTCGCTTATATGTACGTTTGATAGAGGCCTTGCAAGTACTGCACATGTGCACACGCACGCATGTAAATCTTGCGGCGGCACATAGCCCCCATGGCCCTCACATTTTTGGCATGGGATGTGGTCGTTGGGCTGTATGGATATTGCCAGTATATTTCAAATCTCAGCTAGAACTGGAAGTGTTGATATCCTTGCCCAACGAAGCACATCTCTTTGCAGAAGACAAACGGTGTTTTCCCAAGATCTACGAAGCATCATATATAGCCGAATCAAACCTGTGTAAGGGTCTTTTAAAGTTTGGCAAAACCGTGAAATTTACCGCTTGGGCCTGATAATGGTCACAGTGACCTTTTTCGTTTGCGGCATATCCCGGGAGCATGTTTTGACAGCTACTTTAGCAAAGGCGCTCGTTTTCGCACGGTAGCCTATTATTTTGGCCACTTTGGTTTTCCAGGTAGTACGGCACCTAATATTTAGGGTACCCAAAAAGGGACCATAATGTTGACGACTACCTATATAGTTCAATGGTGGCCGTAATAGTTTGAATAGGGTTTTGGGTGCGCATTACTGCTTTTGAAAGGGCATGGTAGCACTAACTAGTTGACCCCAAATATTTGGGTGTAGGGCTCGTGGCCTCAAGGCTCCGACCAGGATGGATGCTCTCGGGCTACATCCGCACCGTCACCGTGACGAAAATACTGACCCCTGAACCAGTCTAAGGAACGAGTATGACTATAGTCTCTAACCCAAGCGAGTTTAAGCTCAGAATCTCCAGCCTCTGATTTCGGAGACTCGCAGGTAGGGCTTACAGGGTTTAGGGTTCAGGGTTTTGCGCCTTCGGCCTTCACAATAAACCCATCCATACAGGTGGCGCCTTCTGTAAGATCCGGCGGTAGGAGGTGCCGAGCAACTCGGTCATGCCTCGGCGGTCGTGCAAGGTTGGAGAGAACCCATGGACCTAAACACGAAGCCCGAAACCCTGAAGCCCAATCGTCCTCATATTCAAAGAACCCAAAACCATCCATCTTGTCGAGGGCTCCATAAGGTCCCTAGACCTGAGATCCATGGACTTTCGGATATTCGCGCTGTTCGTCCGGCAAGAGATCCTACTACCCATAGGCCCCAAAGTAGTTCCTTTTTGGGATTACCTAATAGAATTCTATATATGAACCCCAAAAAGGAACTACTCTGGAGCCCTAGGGTGCACGGGTTTCTCTTGGCGCCGAAGAGCTGACTGGTACATAGACGCCATGGACTTCCTTCTTCGCCTGGCCCAGGTTTTGGGGTTTCGGGGTGTATCGGGTTTTAGGGGTGTTTGAGGCAGCTTAGGAGTTCAGGGGTATTGGAGCTGTGGAAGCCGAAAGCATGGAATGAGAGTGGCTTTCCTAAACCTCTAAATCCTTTTTGCATCGGGCCTTTACCACCGCCCGGTAATTAAACCACAAACCCCTAAACGATGGTTATGCTGGTTACCCTGGACCACACAGTGGGAGAAGTGCTCCCCTAACCCCTAAACCCTAAATCCCTAACCCCTGGAGCCAGACCTGCTCAAGAAGTCCGCCGAAGTTCATCCCCACTTTGGCGGCCAACGCCATCCTTTAGCAGGGCTTGGGTCACCAGGGTTGAGGGTTTCGGCACTCACAACTGGGAGGATGTTTAAGGTTCAGGGTTTCGGGTTTAAGGGTTTAGGGTTCAGGGTGCCTGGCAATAACCGCTTTGGGTTTTAAGTTCGACTAAATGACCGTAAAGAGAGATGATAATTAGAGCTTCGGGGTTCGTGTTGACTAAAAGACCGTAGCGAATCTCAACATTATCCCGAACTGCCGCCCAGCATCATGTTGATCAAGTTGGCTGCCCTCTCTCCTTGGCATCATGTCTCGTTCTGCAGACTGGCTTAGAGTGCAACTGAGACCTTGCACATGTACAATTCTTTAACTTGGGCACGCCGCCATAACCCGAAACCCTAAGCCACATAAGTCCAAGCCCAGACAAGAACCCCTGGCACAGGGAGATTCGCGCGAGGGATGCCCTGGCTTGGAACCCGCGCACTGG